TATATGGAATGTGACCACTGTGTTCTAACTTTCATTTTCAGAGAGATGAAACTCGTTTTGGTGAGCAGTGCTTCAAGGAAAACCCTCCCCAACCACATCCTCCCATTTACAGTGAAGGAGTTATGTATTTCCCTGCTTATGTTTATTAATGTTTAGTTAAAAGTGGTTTTATTGAAACTGGATAAGAGTGGGTAACATTTTATAAATAATATTGCTGTGTTAAAAATGAGGGGAAAAGCATATATAGCGTATGCTAATGCATCTAATACTATTTATGTGAATAAACGTGCAGATAAATGTTGTTGGGTAATGCACATGGCATCAGATGTGACGTGACAATGCCATTTACTCATTGTGATTCTTTCATTTTTTATACACATTAATAATTTTAGGAGTAACTATGACTCAACGGGGCTGGACTTTAAGACTCACTCGATGGCTATAAATGCATTTGCTTCCTTCAATGCTATTACATGAAGTCACAGCCACTGACTGTTAGCAAAACGGTAAGAACATTCAAGCAGCTCATTGCCTTATAAAAGCATGTTTATTATTTAACTACTGACGTGGTAGATAAAATGCATAAGTGCTTTCTATGCTTAACTAATGTCAATAGTTTATACATTATTGAACTGAATGAAATTGTTATTGTAATTGCATGTTATTTTAAATTTCAATGTGCATGTAATAGTGTAAGTTTGGTTAATGAACAAGTACACATTCGTTCACTTGTTAATTGGCAATTATTTAAACTACAACGAGAAATGTTACTTCTCCCATTCTGCTAGGTATCTCAGTTTCTTTCTCCACATTGCCGCAAGGACAGGCATCCTCATCAATTATCATCAATTTGAAGATGCTTCTCAAACAAACATCTACATCTTAATAAAAAAACAACAATATATAATTTAAGTGAATTGACTAAATCAACGCAGGATTGATCATGTATACCATACCTTCATCCAAAAGTGGAACCATCGCAATTCCAGTTAAAATTAGAGACTCACTATCATGCCTCGATGTTGTGTGGTCTGATAAGTTTGAGACAGAAGACATTAACCCTGAAAAAGCAAGGAAGCATGAGGCTGACTTTCTTAAAGGAGCCCCATCGAAGTGGCTGAATTTAGCAGAGGATGAAAACTCACCTTTAGTCAAGAGAGACGGCTTTGATGATTTAACACAGTTAATTAAGAGGAAAAATAGAAAGAGCTGTCTGATCACCGATGTTTCTTTGCAATACCAGTCTGGCAGCGGAGGCTCAACTCTCGCCATGCAGGTGCTTTGGGATTTCCGGAAAGATCTCAGATGTGCCAGAGTCATCAATTCAGATCTAGACACCAAAGAGCTGTCGAAACAAGTGCTGAACCTTTTTATGCTGCCTAATGAACAACATGCAAAACAAGATCGGAAAACGGTGCTGCTGTTACTGGACACCAAGAGAAAGACGGACCTGATTGATCTCCGAGAAGACCTGATTGAAGAAATCCATAAGAGGGACATCAATAGAGACTCTCCAGTCGTGATCATTTTGAACTGCAGGACTGCAGATTTTACTCTCACCGACACACTGATTCTCAACAAAAAACCCTCTGAAGAGCAAATTAGACGATTAAAGGAAAAACTTCTGCAACAGATCCGACTACAGAGAAAAAGCCAAAGGAAAGTCGCAACCATAAATCTGTTGTACCATGAAGACAGCGACGGATCAACACTAGCCAGTGAAGTACTGAGAGACTTGAGGGAAGAGTTCACATGTGAAACCCTGACAAAATCATTCAAAACAGATATCGCTGCAAATAAAGACGAGATTGAAAATACAGCAACTGAACTGCTCGGAACATATAAAACACATAAAAACACTGTGCTTCTCCTGTTGGATAACAAAGGTGAAAAGCCAGTACGCTACTTATTAAAGAGTCTGCAGTTAAAGCTTAAGCGCGCTGATCAAACCGACCATCCTGCATTCATCATTATCAATGCTTATCGGAAGAATTTTGTTCGAGTGCCAAGCGATGTGAAACTGAAAATGGAGCTCTTACCAGATGAGAAGGAGATGTTTGCTCAGAAGAAGCTTCAGCAGGAAAGTAAACGCATGGAAATGTCACAGAAGTTTCATGCCTTTAACATCATGCAGGGAGGTTTCCAGAAAGAGGATGCAGAGAAACTGATCACAGAAGAAATGGTGAATCATATTGAAAAGGACACAAAGTCCAGCAGCACAAGACTTCTCAGTTTTTTGGCTTTGATAAACTCGTATGTCCCAGGTTCACACTTGTCGAAGCTTGTCTGTGAGGATTTCATTAAAGAAGAATGGCCCACTGATGAAGGAAAACCTTCGCTGGAAACGATAATGAAGCCTTTCGAGGATCTCATAGTTATTTTCTCAGAAGGAGAACAAGAAGACCGATGCGTTCGTCTGGCTCATCCAATGATTGCTGATGCCTGTCTAAAACGGTTCACTGAGCACAATGTGACAAGATTTGACATCGCTATTGACTTCTTGAACAGCATGGTGAATGGAAATGAGAGCAATTATGAGCAAATTTGCAAGAGCATGTTCATCACAAGGCCTGAGGGTCTGATGGAAAAGGAAAAGTTTTCCAAACTGATTCTTGACATCATGCATGAAAGTGAAAATAATAGTGAGCAATGCATTTGTTTGTTGGAGTTGGCTTCAGGTTTGTTCTCTGCAGACCCATTTTATCCTCAAGCACTTGCACGTTTTTATTACATTGAGGTGAAAGAGGAAAACAAATATGTTGAGGCAGAACACTGGGCAAAAATGGCAATTGAAAGAGACCCCCAAAATTCACATATCAGGGATACCTTGGGACAAATTCACAAAAACCACCTGCGGAAAATCGGGATTGAAGCTGGAAAAACATGCACAGACGTAGAGAATGTTCTGGCCATTGCAAAGTCTGCCATTGATGCATTTAAAGATGTAGAGAAAGCTGCCGAAAATGAGTCTGAAAATGACACTGGATTCAATAACAGGGGTCTCTTTGGGTTCCTCCAGGTTTACAAGATCATACATCCAACGCCTCTTGAACAACAACACAGTGATTTCATCAGCGGTCTCAGAGGTGATGTTGAGTCTAGATATGATTTCTTTGAATGGTATCTGGCATTCTCAAGACTAAGCCTCAATACAGAGGAACCAGACTACTTTCATGAAGATGTTGAGGAGTGCTACAAGAAATATTTTACACAGGGAGAGCAGACTGATGAAACGACCCTGAATGAGAAAAAGATGAAGTCTTTTGGGGGACTGCTTCATTTCCTAAAATCAGACATCAATGTGCTTAAAGAACATCAGCGTGCACTTAAACATCCACGATCTGACAATGAAACCCAAACCGTTCTCTACATTCTTGCCAACATCGTCTTGAGTCAGTCGGGTGAGCAGTGTGAACAAGCAGAAGATCTTCAGGCCAGGTTACAGAAACTTTGGCTGAGAGAAATACAAGACAGAAGCCCAGAGTTTTACCTCTTGATTCTTTTGCTCTTTTGGCCTGATGAAGCGCAGCCAGGAATCACAAACCCTCCAAACCTTGAAAAGTGTTTCAAAAAAATGCATCATTTATACAAGGAGAAGTATCAGAAATACCTCCGCCGTCGCTACCTGGTGCCTCTGTTCTTCTTTGGGAAAGGAAAAGGTTTGGAGAGTCTGGTTCACACCTCAAAACTAGATCAAATTGCTCTGGAGCTCCTCACTGAAGGGGATGAACATGTAGAAATCAAAGATCTTCCACGCATCAATGGGCAAGTCAGAAAACATAAAGTGTTTGCTATTAGAAGAGAGAAACAGATTCCAGTCACTCCTCACAATCCGTCCAGTGTGTGCAAACCAGGCCAGGTGTCTTTCTACCTGGGCTTCACCATCAGAGGACCAGTTGCCTACAACATCAGATATGAAGAGAACCGTAAGTTACATAATATTGTACTTCATAATTCAGAAGACTCATAGAACACAATTCAAATTTGCCAAGCTTTTAGCAGTATGCAGTTTGGTTGTTTTCAAAATATGTCTGTATCAATTGCATTTTGTGAGAGATTTTATTCCCTTTTCTTTGCAGCTTTCAGGGGCGCAAAATATTATATGAAGACAGACAGAACCAAAACAACCTAAAGGATCTTAATCTACATTAAGTAACATTTTGGCTTGTAGAAAATATAATGACTAATATGGTGCACGGGATGCTTTGCATAGCATTTAGTGAGGAGAGTAAAAATGTTGAAATTAAGTATAACTTTTGTGTTTTTGTGCAAGATGAGAAAAGGGGAATGCTTGAAACGGATTAATGTTCAATCATGTTGGGATTTAGATCGGTTTTAATTACAGTGTGTTACCACTAGTGAGCAAAACGATGGCTACAAGCCTGATCTGTCTATAAAAAAGGCAAAGAATGGGCTTGTGTTCATGTGGAAGCTGGTCTGGTCAGACTTCACTGAAACAGAGATGGAAGAAACATCACTTTTAATCAACTGAACAGGTGCAAAATGATTTGAAGCGTTTGAAACTCCTTACATGACAGTTATTGGTCAGAACGGTGTAAATGCCAAACATGCATAAAACTAATGTGTTATTAAAATTTAAATCTATCAAATGCAATTAACTAATCAACAAATACCAGTAAATATTAAGTGTCTGTATGTGTTCTTTTATCACTTTGTGGGGTTGTTTGTTAGATGGCTGGGTATTATTCCTTTTAATTGTATAAATGTCTAATTAATAGTGTCTACGCATTTATAAAACTGATCCAATATATATATATATATTTTTTTTTTTTCCCACTGTTTGAGATGACCAGATTTAAAATGAGCACATGAGTATACAATATGTGAAATCTTGTTACAATTATTATTTATAATGTTGGTCATGGTTTGATTTGTTTAAACTGTTCTTCCTTTTAACTTTGTTATAGTGAAAATAAATGCTGTGAGAAACATTCTTTATTATTCCCGTTATGTAAATTCAAGATGCATTTGTTATCTGTTGTGGTGTGGATGCATGTATTCCAATAAAATTAATATATCACACAATCTCTTGCTGTAACTGAACAACAACAGTAAGCACTGCTTTGCCACAATTCCCAACAATGGACACTTTGTGCGCGCAAACAGTTGAGACGGGAGACTGGAAAGACAAGCTCTGCAAAGAAGTTTCACGTTTCACTGCATTCCAGTGTTCAAGTTTGGTGACTTTGGCCAAGATGACATGTTGAGCAATAACTCTCATCAGAACTACTTCTAATCCTAAACCTGCAGCACACCTACATCACGGAGAGTCTATTAGACGTCTGCATTACATCTGCAAGACCTATATTTTAGACCCGCTGCAGCCGCTAAGAAGGCGACGAAGAGCCCCAAGAAGGCAAAGAAGCCCGCAGCGCCTAAGAAAGCAGCCAAGAGCCCCAAAAAGGTCAAGACTGCCAAACCCAAGGCGGCAAAGCCTAAAGCTGCCAAGCCTAAAGGGCAGCACCCAAGAAGAAGTAAAAAAAACACTGTTTTATTCCCCAACGGCTCTTTTAAGAGCCACCCACTAACTCTAAAGAAAGCAATTTACTTTACTTTTTAAGAAACGTAACTAAGTTGTATCACCATTGTACTTTAAAAACAACACAATAAATAAAACGCCAGACACAACATCACAATCCATCAGCAACTCATTCACCAGCGTTGTAAGCTGCAGGCAACACAATATATAACAGCAATTAATACATTTATAAGACAGCTATTTCTATCTTCTGAGCATGGATTGTCACCGGTTTTACTGCTCCTTTATGTCTTCTAAAATCAATGGTCAACTATAGTCTTCTCCACATTGAATTAAAGAAAAAAAAATCATCACACCATGTAACAAAAAGCTGAACCTCTCTTCTATTGTCCAAATCATTATTTTGTTTGATTAGATCCACAAGTTCAGTGTCATCAGAAAACTTTTGTAGACAGCAAGATGACGGAGTATGCCTACAATCAGAAGTATACGGTGCAAAAAGTGAAAATAGAAGAGTGTATCTGAGTTTACCTCGACTCAATGTTTTACATGTTGACTGTGTATTTAGAAAAGCCAGTTATTCATATATATTTACATCAACAGCTTTAATAGATCATATATCTTAATTTAATTAGAGTTTTGCCCTTAAATGTAGGAGAAGAAAACACAAGCGTGTGGCGCGCAGACACAGAGCGGGCGGGTTGAGTCTACAAGGTTCTCATGTGTTAAATAAGAGCGCAGCACCGCTCAACTGCTGCTCATTGCTTAACATAGAGAGCGTCTGATTTACTGTAAATCTACACAGAGAGAGAGAGATGAAGTACACAGTGCAAATAAAAAAGGTGACAAAAATATAAAATAGAAGAGTGTATCTGAGTTTACCTCGACTCACAATGTTTTACATGTTGACTGTGTATTTAGAAAAAACACAAAGTAATACACACATATATTAAAATTAACAGCTTTAATGGATCATTGATCTAAATTTAATTAGGCTAAAACAATATGTATTAATGATTTTTGCCTTGAGAATTATTTTGAAATACTTTAGCACACCGTCACCATTTATTTAAAGTTTTCTGTCGTGTTGTTTCTTAACGCTGCACAATCAGACCGCCAGCTGTGGAGGCGTGGCTTCGGCGGTCGCTGTTGGAGGGAAGTTCAGTGATTGGTTTGGAATCTTACAGACTCTAAACCAATGGGCGACTCGCACGCTCTTTTAAATAGAGTAGAGCGGAGCTCATGGATTTATTTCTGCATTATATCCGTAGAAATTTTTACAACCAACAATGAGTGGAAGAGGTAAAACCGGTGGCAAGGCGAGAGCGAAGGCCAAGGTTCTAGTCTGTTTCTGAAACCCAAAGGCTCTTTTAAGAGCCACCTATTTTACGTCTCACAGAGCGCTTTTCTTTAACTTCATTTCATCAGTAGCCTAAGGGCGTTTAATGAAAATAAATTATCGTTAAAAATTAAATATCCATAAAGATTAAATGGACATTAGCAAACGCAATAACAGCCGCAAGGCGATCTGTGGCGGAGCTTATGAGTGAGTGATCACATTAACAAAATATGTTCTTTGGATGGTGTCTTCAGTGTATTTGTAAATTTATACAGATGGTAAGGTAATTTTGATGATATGGGATTAATGAGTAGTTTAGAGCTATGGAATAAAACAACGCGAGTATGAAGCCTAAATTGGTGCGCGAGCGTGAAGCGTATTTGTGGTGATGCTTGAAGTACTAAACAAGAACAAAGCAATTTGAGCGGGAAACACAACCAGCTCCGTTTGAAAACAGGAGATGCGCAGTCATTGGCTAGCAGTCAAGCTCAGACGTCACACATCAGCCAATCACAAGCCTCTGCACCTTTATGACGCCATAAGCTGTGGCTGTATGAGGCTTTAAAAGCAGCCGCGTAACATAGAGCAGCATTTTCTGCTCACGCAAGACGGAGAAAGAAGTAGATCTCAGCAATGGCAAGAACCAAGCAGACGGCTCGTAAATCCACCGGCGGCAAAGCCCCGAGGAAGCAGCTCGCTACTAAAGCCGCCCGGAAGAGCGCCCCAGCCACCGGCGGCGTCAAGAAGCCCCATCGTTACAGGCCCGGGACCGTGGCTCTCCGAGAGATCCGCCGCTATCAGAAGTCCACCGAGCTGCTGATCCGCAAACTGCCTTTCCAGCGTCTGGTGCGAGAAATCGCTCAGGATTTCAAGACGGACCTGCGCTTCCAGAGCTCCGCTGTCATGGCCCTGCAGGAGGCCAGCGAGGCTTATTTGGTCGGTCTGTTTGAGGACACCAACCTGTGCGCCATCCACGCCAAGAGAGTCACCATCATGCCCAAAGACATCCAGCTGGCCCGCCGCATCCGCGGAGAGCGCGCTTAAACCCGCCGCTGCAGCAGCCGCAGTCCACCCCAAAGGCTCTTTTAAGAGCCACCACAATCACTGAACGAGAGAATTTTCACAGTAACGCTGAATATAAAAAAAAAAAATAGCATGGCCTTTGAAGGAATTCTGTCTAGGTCTTAATTTTTTTTTGCGTTTGAACCGTTTTAGTTTCCCCATTACTACAACGAACACAACATATGTGTAATTGTTCGTTACTAACTGTTGTGTAATGACATTAGTGCCTATGTAAATAAAACAATAAATTAACACTTATACATGTGTATATAATACAGCCAAGTGCAAATACATATTAAGTTAATTATTTTATTATAAATTGTATCTGTAGCTGTTTACTTTGGTAGACAATGATGATGAAATGAAAGTCAAAGCGGCTTATTTAGAGTCCTTTTTAACGATGTAGAAAACAAAAACAGCACTCATGCAATTCAAAAATGAGCTAATTTACAATAACAAATACATATAAATAACTAAAAATTAATTACAACATGTCGTAATACCTAGAAATGAAATATACTCCAAACAATCTATATGGCACATAAAATACATAAAAACAAGACAAAATGCACTATAACAAGGCAGCATTAAAATGACCGTTTATCTTTTATAACATGTTAAAGAGGAACTTTTTTTTTCTTGCTAAATGGGATAAACCATTCCATAATTTAATACCCCTAACTCTTATTAAGTATTGCAAACTTGAAAACTGACGAGTTAAAAGTGAACGTGAATTTAAAATGTTATCAATTAAAGTTGCTGAATTTCTTTAACTCTTGTAGGTTTGTGAATAAGAGGAAAATAACTAGAATAAAAAATATTAAGAAAATCTGCAGTAGGAGAATCACATTTCTTTTTTTAAGAGATTTATGTTAAAATCCCCTAAAATATAACATTATTTATGCTCATTGCTTATCAAATCAGTAAGTTGGCCTAAGTATCATTAAAATCTTGAATATTGGAATCAGGTGCTCGGTAAATAACACCAACAATAACATTTCTTCCTCCAGGACCAACTGAGAGCTCAACAAATACATGTTCCACGTCAATTCTATCTGATTTTACAGCAAGATCATCCCTAATTTTAAATTCATAATCTTCATGAATAAACAAAGATACTCCTCCCAACCTGTGCTTTCTAACACAACGGACCGAGTTATATTTAAATAATTTGAACATTTCTCTAGAGTTGTCCTTTAACCATGTTTCAGATAAAGCAATAGTAGAAAACGTCTCAGGTTACTTATGTAACCATGGTTCCCTGAGTAGGGAACGAGACACTGTGTCCTCTA